GCACCCCGTATATGCATATTATACAGAGCATATTTACCGCGGAATCTGTCACCCTCTTTTCTAGGATTCGATACGCAAAGTGCGAGCAGAAAGCGTAAAAATCTTCGTTGAGTTTGCGCTTAGCCGCATCAGACGGGGGATTCGATAAGGTTCAACTATTTCGATACACAAAACGCGGGACAAAACTGGTCCTGAGAGGTTCTCGATCCGTCATTTGCGTCCTGTTTGAGCAGTTTCAAGACACTTTCCGGCTTAATCGTCAGGTCGGTCGTTCAAGGGCACTCGAGTGTTAGAGTAGGTAGTTCTGGTGCTGGTACTTCTTCGTGCTCAACGGCTGGAAACAATGGATTTCGTTTCGAGGACTACTCCTGCATTACAAAAGAAGAAGAAGAATGCAAACTGGCAAAGGGGACCACACGTTTTTTTCACGCATCTGCTTCTCTCTGCGTACGTTCAATTCCCTATTCCGTATGATCAAGTGACTTTTCATTGTAAATTCCAGTGAAACCACTGCAATCCTGCTTACCAAGTTTAACTTTTATTTAACAGGTCCAAGGAGAATTATGAACGTACTGCGTCAATGAAAGAAAAATAACAACATCCGTATATTCTTGGCGACTAATCCTTCTCCATACTTTTTTTTTTATCTATTAAATGCTTACGTAGATCCTCTGTCAAATAGGATATTTAACACTGGTTATGGTGGTTTATATGCCCCTTGAAAGCGAATACACCTACAGGTGTACCACATCGTTTGATAGCCTGCGTCGCTAAATCTGAAGGGCAGTTGGCGAAAGTGGTGTCTTTTTGGCTCTTCCTTTTCCTCCAAGGTGTCCAGGAGATTCGCTGCGAGACCCGAGAATGCCAGTTTCCTTGTAGATTTGGCGGTTCGGAATTTACCGCTCTGCATTCGTAATGGTCCTTAGCTTTTCGTTTTGCCATATTGTAATTTTTACATTAAATTCAGAGACGGCGATCCATTATAAAATTTGCAAATTTTTGACAATCTCGAATACCATTGATAGAAAATGGTTCGATAGAGTTGTCATCAACGACATCGCGTCGTACGACTTGGCAAAGCCATTCCTCATTTTCAATATTCCAATTATGCATATCACGCACAGGGTGTCCATTTAAATCGGTTTAAATCGAACATCTTTGAAGCTATTCAACCGGGAAATGGTCATTATTTACGTTAGGACACGTCTCGCCGAGTTTGATTCTACGCGAAAAAAGAAGTCGAAAATATAGAATAAAAATTTTTCGTTCGAGGCTTTGTTTTCGAGAAAATCGACTTTGAATTTTTGCTCGATACGCGTGCGGTACGTTGTAACGGATCTCACTGTAGATCGTTGTCTCGATGGAAAAATTAAAAAAAAAAATTAAAAAAAAAATTTTTATTCCACCAGTTACCAACGACCCTGTATGTTACAAAGGTTGCGGCTATATAAGCAGATATCTACACTCGCTAGGGAAGATCGTGCGGCAATTGCGTCCTGAAAAATCAACATGGAAGACAATAACTTCTTGTCTTTCATCTTCATTTTTCGCAACTCAACGTTCGCATGGTTTCCTCTATACTTTCGGCATATGAGTATCCGGACCTGTTTGCACGATCGTGATCAATGTCATCATACTAAATAGTTTTTTCCGCGTGCACGTTACCACCATTTTACCTTAGTTTCCGAGATATCCACATGCAACTTTTGTTAAATATAGTTTCCACTACACTTTATTGTGGCATATAGATTTCATCTACCTAAATTTCACTCATTGATGCTAATCCCCACGATTTTGTATTATTTCTTTATGCTACCAAACATACTTTTGTGTATAACTTAGAAACTAAGATTGCACATTGTTATCCATTGCATTATTACTAGGTTGTGCGTGGATATGTTTACATATCTGCTGACCTTCGCCACTAGTAGGTACATGATGGACAGACAGATAAAACGTAATGCAACATTTCCTATATCGATAGAAATCGGCGAGGTTGCTTTGTAAATGATTACTTGTATACATTTTTCTTAACCGTTTAACGTCAGAAGCACGTTTTTTTTAAAATGTCTACTCTATCGTTGACACATAATTTAACATATAAATTGTTTGTCGTATGTATGTAGCTACTGACTTAACAGACGATATTATTTTTTATAAAAGAAATTATAAGATCGAGGTATAGCATTTGCGCATAAATCTTGTTTGTAATTCATAAGTTGTGCATACGACTAGAAATCATAATTCATTGATAATTTGATATTCAGTGCGCGTAGAACGTGCCCGTATCGCTTTCAAGTGAAACATCTGCATATTGATGTCAAATTGCAACTGACATGTTCCATTGTAATGGATTGCGGAAAACGAACGGAGGACACGTAATATGGAAAGCTACACTTATTATCCTGCTTTACTATTCATAGTAAATAATATATTATGAACGTACAGATACATCGGAACACATCTACACATGGACCGTTCATTTTGAAAGTGGTGCACGTCCATTTCCTGAAAAAATTGTGAAAATGTAAAATACGCATATACTTTAATGTGAACTTTCTGTTTATAAACAATTTGTAATTGAAATCTTAAAGCATTTGTTTGTCTTGATCCATTGAAATTACGTTAATAAATGAAATTGCATAATTATCGATTTTGAAAGTGATAGAAAGCCATTTCCTGTAGTTACTTGACCAAACGATCGAAGAATCAATAATCAAAAAAAAAAAAAAAATAATAGCGATTGTAATTCTAACCTCTGTATCTGACATAATATTGCATGTACGGACGTGAACAAGTTGTTTAAATGCGATTCAACAATATACTCGTAAATTGCTATTATTGGATTAACTTGATATAATTAAATGTGGTTACTATTACGTTTAGAGTATTATGAAATTAATTACTTTCATATCGAAAATCGAGAAAAATATTACAACATTGGTGCTATCTTGCTTTCTTTTCTCAATTTTTCGACCTTGCATTAACATAAAAATCTGCTAGTAATGCGGTCTAACATAATGATATTTATTTTGGTTTTATTTTTTTTCAAATGTCTACTGACCCTGAGAAAAAACATCTAATTAATTCTCAAAGTACTATAAATATATTTGGTAAAAGTCCAGTAATTTTTTTTAACAGGAAGAGGCAAACTACTATCGCCAGATTTAGAATTACGTTTCCCAATCCAAAACAAAATTTGTACGAAAAATTACGATATTGCCAACTATTAATTTAGTTGAAACATACATTGTATCCTATTAATTTAAGTTTGGGTTAATTGTACTGTGTCCTGCTGTAATTGTACATCGTTATATATGATTTATGTTCAAAATGTATTGACGTATAGTATTAAACCAGTTTGTAACTTCTTTTATTATTACATTTTACACTTTGCTTTTCGTATATTTTCGTATATTATTTATTTTACTAATCACTGTCGCTATTGACCATACAAAATGGTTGACGTTAATTTAAATAAAATAAATAATAATAAGAAGGCGTCCGCTGCTGGGAAATATTACATTCGAATGATAGAAGCTTTATATTAATTATTAATATAAAAAGATATTCGAACAATGTTTAGATAATAAGGGGGGGGGGGGTGCTCTAGTGCGTTATGAAATTAGGAAATTCTGATTCTTTCGTAAAATATTTATTCGAAAAATTAACATTGATCGTTACAGTTTGTTATAAAACGATGATGCAGGTTCGGTATTCTCCATTTTACGCAGCAGGAAAATCGGAAAGAAAGTCAAGTACTTTTTCGAGGTTATTCGAACCGACTGAAAGCCAGCCAAACCTCTTTTGACCCCTCTTCTGAGGAAAGCTAATCCCATCAGAAGTTTTCAGTATGTTTATAATCCACTAATCGCTCGCCTTTCCCAACACAATTTAAAACTTTCCTCCGCGGCGTTATCCAACCCGCTCTCATTTGCCTCCGCCTCTTCAATCTATCGCCCTTCACGGATCCTTCTTCTTAACCAGACTTCATTTTGCGGCTCATAGATCGCCAAATTTCACAGAATTTCTCATCCTGCATTCTGGTTCTTCCTTCGAGCAATCTCTTCCTTTTTCCTTTTTTCTTTATAACTGGAATACATTACAATGAGTTTTAATATTTGGTAAACATTGTTTCTCAAATTTGTGTCAACCAGAAAACACAGAAAAATTGTTCCGTAGAAAGAGAGATGTATATAGTTCCGCGTCTATGTTTCGTAACTGTTCAACTACTAATGTGATTCGAAACTTTTCAAGCAGGAACACATTGTTTCTTCACCGGAATCCTATGTGTAATATAATTTATGTTTTGATTCTAAAGAATATGAATCATGTTAAAAAGTGACCAAGATCGATATCGTAATAAAAATAAATTATAGGGCATCTACGCTCCGTATCTTTATTTCTTTAAAAAGTTATGACTGTACATCACCTTCGTTATCCAAGAAAAGTATAATATGCCAATATTTCTAATTATTATAATACTTGCAAAAAAACATGCACTTTTAACAGATATGAAAACGAAAATCATATTTATTGTTGAAAAATATTAAAAAGCTGCATAAGCATATTTGATGTTTCTGGCGATACTGAAAGGTAAATACAATACTGTCCGAATATATGGCCAACAGTTACTCGTTTCTTATTTTTTTACTATATTGTTACGGGATGGTCTTGGTCGGATTATTAAAATTCGTGCGGTGAAAATGATACCAAACACGACTATATTTGACCAACAGTTTGTTTAACTTAACTAAAGAAACTGAGAGAAGAAATGACCTGACTGCAGTACCTTATTGTACGTACGGTAGAGTGAGTACGAGTCGGATAATTTGGCCCAGTTTTTGGAAAGTTGCCTTTCCGGATATACGACCACCTCCGAAAATCGTTTACAATTTTTCTTAGAACCATCTAATACTATGCTACGGCACATTTCACAAAATTTTGAAAAACGTATGATGTAGAGGTGTCTGTAATAAAATGTAATAAAAATAATAAAATTGATACAAAGTTTTGTAGAATTTTATTAATATGACATATTATCGAATTCAAAAATATCAAATTCACGTCAAATCAAATAATACAATAGCATTTTTGCTGAAAACAAAATTACATTTTCCACACTCGAATAGTATGAAATATTTTATACAGATACTGCTGGACAACAGTAAAATCGGATTGGAAACCATTCTTGCATACAATGTGGGTGCAAAGGTGGTGTTCGCATGTAGCAATGGCGTTATGGTATTTTGGTTTTGCTCGATTCCAGGCTTCAGCTGATTCATCTGCTGATTTCCTCATTACCTACTTCCAAGACGGTTCAATATCTGAAGAAAAAGAAGAAGAAATGTAAAGCTTAGGTTAGTTCGATCGCTGTCGTATTCGTATATTTGCATTTATTTTTTACTGCTTTGCCATTATTTTTTGAGAGAGTGATAATGGTGTATTTTGTTGCTTGAGAGATATTTTTAAAGGTTCTACGTAAATGTTTCAATTCGACGCAATGCAATTCTTAACAGAATTAAAAATTAATCCTTGCCAAAAAAGAAAGTAACAAAGTTCTGTTAGGTATTTTTAAAACAAATTTTGTTATCAATTTGCATTGAAAAATAAAACGAGGAAGAATTTTCTATGAAAAACTACAGTGTCGAATATTATTAGTTGCAACGTTTATCTTTTTTTCTTGAGAAGAATAACACTAATCTATGATTAAACCGATTTCTATGTCAATTTCACCTCAGTGATATTAAATTATCTATCCAGTGAATGTAAACGAGGAAGAATAGCCGCATGTAGAGGGGATATTTGCTGAGAAGCTCATACACCTGAAATGGAAGTTTACTCACCTGCAATAACGAGCCGTTCCCGGAGGGCATTGCGAGTACACGTGAAATTGATTGAAAGTAAAGATAGTTTCACTTGCTATATAAAGGGATTTAGCAGATATATAGTCATTCAAAGACTCGATAATTTAATAAATTGTGATCATATTTCGATGCGATTTCACGAAACCCCACTTGTTATTATTTACGTTTATGTTTATTTCCGTTCCATTCTTTTGCTGTTATTACTTTGTGAAAAAAAAATCTTTATAAAAAGCGGTACCTAACTGGTAGTAAAGTTGAGTACAGGCTGATTCTACGAGAAAAGACGAGACGAAAATGTAGAATAAAATTTTTTCATACGACGTTCCGTTTCCGAGAAAATCAAAGTTGAATATTTATCAAGTAAACTTAAACTTGGCTAATTCCGGGCTGAACGTGGGTAAATAACCGGCAGGAGGTTAAAATACATATGAAAATAAGTCAAATACGTAGAGTAAAATTTTTTTACAAGGTGCTTTCTTTTTAAGAAAAATACATTCGAAAGTATCGTGCACGTGTACCAGGCCAATTCTTAACGAAACATGTTCAAACTTTATTTTCTTCAACACGAGGATTTAAAAGAAAAAACTTTGTTTTACATCAGAGCTGATACCCAGAATAAAATGTGTTTACTCGATTGCTCAAAGCATATATAAGCAAAATAGAAGTCAAAGTTAGAAATTTGTTAATTCATTGTTACCCTCACTTGTTACATATCGATTATTACAAATCATTTCTAATGTCATTACGTTGATACCGCCAATACAAAGACATTATCATCTGCATCATCAAACGTTTCTCTCTAGTACAAATTCCTCCAATTCAATTGATTGGAACGTCAAACTCATTGCTAGTTTCAAATCCGATAAGCTCGCGGTTATTTCTCCCCTTTTGAAATTTTGTAAATACAGGACAATTGTTTCTTACAATTGTTGCAATGTGTCGATACAGAAACAGATTTTTTCCATCTATAAGACAACGCGTACTAGGCGAGCACGCTGTCAGTTTCCAGCGTTTTTTCCGTAAACGATAAATATTCGAAAAAATGGAAGAGAGAAAGAACGAGTAGTTCCAAGTGAACTACATACGATAATATCTTTTTCGCAAGTGCAAAAATGCATGTGCATTTTGTAGTTGCAGTACATTTTGATATGGAAACCTTCCTTTCTTTTGCATGCCTCGAAACCTGTCGCCATTCTACGAAAAAAAATATTATGGCGACATAGTCTAAACCGGTTAGTTTACAAGATATTTTAGATTTAATTTGTTATGATTTATCATATGTCAAGACGATGCTATCCTTTTCTTTTGGATCAAAAAGTGTACATATATTTCTTATTATCACTGGGGTTGCTATCATCTTCTTGCGTGAAATGTCTCAAACTAGGACTTTTGGAAATGTGAGGTTATTTGCTTTTAGATTCTTATCATTTGACGTTTCGAATAAACTTTCGAAAAGTGGTTTTTCGGAGCAGCAGCTATTTTACACGCGTAATTGGCACACGACTGACTTTCCTATATTTGAAAGTTGATATACTAGTTTATATACTAGTTTCCACTAATAGACTGTTTATTGAGCTCGATCGACAAGCAGCTAACCAGATTCGGGGACCAGAGTGATGAATAGAATTTGGGCGAGTAGTTTCTTTGCTTGAACCATTAACAATCGATCCGTAGTCAAGTTCAGACATAATTAATGATTACACGTGTGATTGACATAATTAATGATTGTACGTATTTGTGAAAATTTTTATATCTGTATCCCAGTATTTGGCTGCAAATATTTTCATTCTTTTGACGCAGTCTTTCTCTGGTATCCCGATATCTTTTTTCCAATTGATCTTTTGATCGAAGGTTAATACAACTATTTTCGTTCCGGTAGCTTTTGTAATTGGTGTGTTATTCAGTACGAGTTTCAGATTGTTTGTATTTTATTCCTGGTCAAGATTATGCACTCGGTTTTGATCGGAGAGAATTTAACTCCGGTTTCAATGTCCAACTGTAAAGGTCATTTAGATTTATTCCATTACAGAAGATCGTGGAATCGTGAGCAAAGAGGTTACTCTACATTAGTGATTTGACATAATTGACCATATTGTCAATTACGGTTACAAACAAGATAACCCCCAAAAGAGAGTCCCTTTCTACGTTTTATGTTGCAATTTTGTCAGTTAGAAGACCGCTAATTTGATTCGGATAGAACTTTATCTTGAAAAATTAAAAAAAAGGCGAGTATTTTCCGTCTTATTCCCAGTTGGTATAGTACGGTAGCTATTCTTTTACATCAGATCAGTTCATACATACCTTTTTAAGATCAATTTTAGATATGAGTGCGTTGGTAATAAATCTTTCAAGAAAGACGTTGATCCGTTTTAGTGACATACACTTGCTGGGAAGCGATTATGTTCTATTCTTTTAAGAATTTTTATTAATTCTAGAAATTTTTGTCTTTTCCTGGTTCAGGGATAGCTATGGTTTTAGCTCCTTTCCAGACGTTAGGAAATATACATCTCTTCTATATTTCGTGAAATAAACGTGTGATAAATTCGAAACTTTGCTTGTAATTTTTTGAGGATTAGTAATTGTGTTGAGGATTTTGGTTGGACTAGGGCTTCAGTTTTTCCACTGTTGAAGAATGGCTTTAATCTCGTCGGACGAGATGTCACTGTTGAATGTAGTGTCTGTCATCTCGTTGATACTGAAAGTGTCTTCTTGGCGTTTTATTTTCCATTGTTTAAACTCTTCGTCGTATTCATCATCGTTCCAATTTGCTGCAACCGTGTAGACTATATCACTGATGAATTATTATTAATAGAGATTAAAGATTTGGATATATTATATCGGCTACTAACCCTTCTTAACTTATCGTATATTTTTAAGAGAAGAATATTTTTATTTAGTTCAGAATTGTACTACTATTTTAATTATTTGCTTCGGACAGTAGAACATTCATCGTTCTATCAAGCAACTCATTTTCTATTGGCGTTAATTTCAATTGTGGGAATTGCTTTATTAGCTGGTTGAGTTAATGTCGTGGTTGTTCAGTTTACTTCTGTCAAGCTGATCTTTTTTTCGAATTAATAAAGTTGGCAATTAGCTGTTTCAAAGTTCCATGAAATAGCTTTTGGCCGAAGTTTAGGGTTATTGTTGAATATGGTTGGAAGAACTAGGGTAGTAATATAATTCTGATATAATAGTCGCTACCGTGTAATTCTTCGGCTACTTTCCGATCTAGAATTTCCGTGATGCTCGACGAGGCTATAATTAAACCTATAGCGCTTTCTTTTTCCGTTGTACATTGCGTTGTCATTTGGTTGTTATTTAACAAGACAATATCGTCGAGTTGTTTCGATATATCTTCTTCGCTTCTTGCATTAGTATTTTCTCAGCCCCATAATTTACCGTAGTCATTGAAATCTACTGGAAGAATGAAAGGCTTATCGAGGTTGTTTATTAATTGTTTTACGTTCGATAGTAGGAAACTGAAGCTGGTTGCAAGCTATACGAGCCGTCCCACCTAACTTGAGCATCTCAAATACCTCTTATTATCGATGATAAGTGTCAGAGGGGAAACGTTACTTGATTTCCAGAGACAAATATGCTGGTAATCGTGAAATTATTCTCAAAGCCATTTATTTGTATTTCTTATCTATTTATTTCAGATTCACCGACCAAAGTGAACTTTATCGAAGTAGCTTACTCGTCCTTTACCTCGTACTTTATCTTTCGATAAAATATTCTCAATATCGCACTTTGCAAGATTTCAAACTCACCGATGTTCTTTTAATGGGATAATATTTTGACGACGTATAATATCATGTATATAATCGTATATAATCATGACGTATCATAATCGACGTATATAATCATGACGTTGTAACGAAGGTCAAGAAAAATCCAATGATCTATAACACCGTGTGCCTTTAAGGTACATGTTCTTTTGTATTTGTTAGCGAGTAGAAGCGATATCTCTAGTAAACACTATGCTTACTAAATGGTAGATGTCTGTCATTTACTTTCAATGTTTTAGTTTAGAGCGTTTGGCGTCTGCCTTTCTAGTTTCTTCCAAAAGGCATCGGAATGTTTGGCAGTTTGCCTCGAGTCAGCCCAGCGTAACTTCTTTGCACGTTCTTGCAATACGCTGCCACACACCTCGTGCGTTAGTTGGTACCGATAATACTTTAATTAGCGGAGCTCGGTATTTATAGTACGAACAGTGTTTGAAAACTTTTTATGCCGTTCGCGTGAAAGAAGATATAGAAGGCCAATATTTTCCCCTTCTTTTTCCGAGTTTCAGTATCCTTGAAACTCGCGTTGGAAACTAATCGTAATTTTCTAAATATTACAATTTGTTTCGTTGCCATCTGCTTCTTTTATTCGGCAACTTGATGAACCAACACTTAGTATTTTTTTCTAAATCTCCTTCTTCTATAAATCAGTTACTTCGTCTGTAAAATTTTTAC